CGAACCCGCAACGCGACTGTTGCTAGCCTGCGGTTGAGACCACTGAGCTTGTATGGTAAGTTCGTCGCTTGGTGATTGGGCTACCGTGTTCTCTGCACGGTATTAAAATGCAAGTCAGTGAATAGTGATCAACACTATATTGGATTTAGTAACTTCGTCAGGATGGTCGATGCTGTACCCCGGAGAACAACAGCAGCAACCACAAACCGCGACAGCCGCGGGTCCGAGCCCTGCAACGGTCAGTTGGAATGCACACCGATAACGATTCTTGAAGAGATGAAACGACCGTATAGTGCTTTTACGGGAGTGTGATGGCTGGGTCTAGATGTGATGAAATTCCACATATGCTATTCAACTCCCCAACTACCCCTTTGTAAGCATTGTCTAATAATTGGCGTGCGCAAGCACCTAAGGTTTTGAAATCAAAGCAAAATATGGAATGGCAAAAAACAAAAAATGACAGGAATACCTTCTCGGCAATCGGGACACCAGCTATCGCCTGTCTTCGGGTCTGTTGACCCTACCATGAAGGCAGATACTCGCCGGTGTGCGGTCAAAGCCCCGCTGACGACACCTTCCAGGGTATCGATGCTCTCCACATATTGTTGTTCGGCGGGCATATCAGGATAGCTGAAGGTAAATTCAAGCAGAAAAGCGTAGACGGGAAAGATCAGTATTGCACACTGCAAGGATCGTTTGCGCGGTGGCGCGAAAAGCACTATGCCGATAACAAACGAGTGAGATATGAGAGGAGTTAAGGTGAACATAATACTGTGTTTGTACAGTAGTAAAGTTCATGCACCCATTGCTTCAGTGATTATGAAGAACGATCAAAGGAGATATGCTCCACTGTCATTCTCTCTTTATAGGTAGGCACACCGGTCGCTACATAGTGGCGAATTTGAGGCGATAAGACCATGAGAACAATAAACCGAGCAAAGATAAAAAGATGAAGTAAAATGCTAAATGAGAATCGGTGCCAATAGCAATCACACGAGATTTCACTGAAGGGGAAAAAAGCGGCCGTGAGTAGAAAAGAAACAGCGAATGTGCCGGGAAGTCGATTAAGAGGAAGTAAATCAATGCCTTTACACGCCGCAAAATAGCCACTGAAAGTTCGCACTTCGCTCCTAAGTCAATGTTCACCAGTGATCACGCGTCCAGTCCTGGACCTGATGATAGAGACAGCGGAGTTCAGAAATGGGTGCATATCATCCAACAGCCGGACGCTAGAGAGCACGATTCTGGCATTCCAAAGTTCGAGAGCTATCCTAACAGAACAGTAAGCGCGCACCTGGATATCAGTTTTATGACTCGCAGTAGAGGTGTCATTGTTAACCTGGTGACGCGAGTCATGGCAGTTGTAATTACCGAACTTCGGTGACCGAATCATAGTTGTTTACCTAAACTAGACTGATATTTGGGCTGAGATGAAGGCACCCGAAGACGACAGCGTGCATTATTGATGCCGATATGACAACAAACTGAGGATTAATAGATGTCGTGCAATAGGAAACCTAAGGGGTTGCAACCACTGGGGACGCAGTTCAATGCGAAAAATAAAGGGCGCCGTGAGTGTAGTGGAGCGCAAAACGCAACCTAATCATCTCGGCGCTATATCTGTAGACAATCGACCGAAACCCATGCGACGTACCCCATCAGAGGGAAAAAGCGCGGGAGTGCAACACAACAATCCAGGCATGAACAGGAACAAATTTCGGTAAGGTGAAAGATAAGTATTGAAAAAGGCCAGATCTAGACCATGTGGAACGCTTGGTGGTGATGTAAGCCAAGAAAACCACATATGGACTCATTGGATTGGCAGCTTATGAACCTGGAGACGGGAAGAAAGTGCTAGAGTAGAGAGCAAGCAAAGATACGAAGGCGATCCCAACGCCAACACGATTAGCTGCTTGACCATCAGTTGAGATCCGGAAACAAGGGCTAGATGAGGTGAAAGAAGGGCAGTCTGAACCTAAGCGGTCAGTGGGGAAATGTCAACGCACGAACAAACTTGACCTAAACACTCATCATTTTAAAAACGTTGAGTGGTTGTGTATCGGTTCAATCGTTGGACACGAGCGTGCTTCGTTAGCATCAACTCAGCGGTGAGGTGACGATAAGCGTCCACTCTCAGAAATCGAACAGAGCTGTCTTGCAGTCACAGCGTGGTAGACAAGCCAATCCTAGTTGGTGGAACATGCATCCAACTGGTTGTTGACTACCTCGAAATAAGAACATACACACGGTCAAAAGCGTACCCCGATTCAACTGCAGCAGCACCGCTAAAGTCGAATCGCTAAGTAGAGTTCTGTATGCAAACTCGTTTCACGGCGACTGTGATATGCGCCTGTTCCGTTCTGCTGACAATATGTGCAACTCTCGAACGGCTCGGGTTACGTGCACAGTACTTGCAGCTAATTCTGCAGACACAGTCAGTCGGCCTATCGGTGGAAAGTGAGTGCTTCAAATGCACGAGCGCTAAACGAAGCGTTTGATCATTCGGCAAAACCCCCATTAGTATTTCCTTGTTTGGTACCATGTCAACTCACTCCATCGTAGGTCGTGGATGTGACTGGAGCCTTCTGCAGCAGGTGTTTCACCGATCGTCTCAAGTATCCACTATTCAGCAGTCTGTTCACTGCCTCCTCCCGAGCGGCATTCGTATCCTCTCCCGCGGTGCAAAGCTCTACTAGGATTCGGTAATAGTGATACGCACGTTAAATAAATGGCATGAAACTGACTCAGACGTTGTACTGATAATTAGGGGGTTGCAATCAATACCACAGATCCTGAGACGATGGAGAAAGCCAAACCTAACAGATGCATAAACAACATGGACGGGGAGCCATAGAATGTGTAACGTGTCATCCTAACTCGGCCAGTCTGAAGAGTGTCGGTGGACAGATCCGGGGCAAGGAGCGACCATCTAACTACACCTACCCACATTATTGATAGTGACTCAGGTGTGATGACATCGTACCATGAAGCACTTGGGATCTTTTCATAAGTAACGTGTTATTAGAAATGACACTGACTGGTGACGTAAATACCCTCGGTCGTCGCGATTATCTTCCCAGTTTGCCAATAGAAACCGCTTGAAATCTGGGATATTTTCTGCAGAAATTCCTCGTCGTACGAGAACAAAACAGTGCGCAGACTGCAGCTTTCTAACAATGGCCGTAAAAGTTTCTTTTCAAAAATACTTTATCAATAATCCGCTAGGCCTGAGGAAGAGCCAACGTCAAAAAGGAAACACTTCCCATCAAATATATCGGCATGTACAATGCTGGACTTTAACGTAAACCCAGGTCCCAACAGATTGCGTGTAGCAGTAAAAATAGTGAATTTCTAACCCGTGTGCTAAGCGTTGCCCACGGATCTGTGACCTAGCGATCAAGATGTCAATCAGGAACCACCACGTCACGATTCGCACTCACAGTACCTCTGCGTGAAAAGTCCAAACGAAGACGAAACCGGTCGTAAAATGCAAGGTTGGGAGCAAGCAACCCCTAGTAGTAACCGGTTGTTAGCAAGCCCTTCCGCAGTCACGAGTTCTTAATCGCCGCTGTAATTTTGCCTTTTCAACTTAGCAATTGACGAAGTTATAGAAGCAGCGTTCACTGGACACGACCAACAAAGTGTGCAGCTACTTCGTTGTGAGCGACTTCTTAACTTGCAGTACGCGGATGACACTACCCTTATTCGTGACAGCTCCCAAACGTGCCAAGCAGTGCAAGACCGGTTAGCACTGGTTGTAAATCGTCTTGGGATATGCGTTGCTCCATCGAAATGCAAAATCCTTCGCAAAAATTGAAAGGGACTCACCCCTGCACTGACCCTTGGTGACCATCTAGAAGTGGTTCATGAATTCAAGTACCTGGGCAACTATATTAGCGCCCAGGGGGGACGAAGATGAAGTTACGAACCGTATAGCAGAAGCTCGAGGTGTCGCTGCCAATCCCAGCCCCCTTTGATGCCGATGCGACATCACTCCAGCCGTTCGCTCAACATTCCTATATAGTTGTGAAACCTGGCCCATCAGGTCGACAGACATAAAGAGGTTAGTCAAGTTCGATCATCGCTGCTTTCGCAGTTTAGCTCATGTGTGGTGGCAGCACCGCGAGAGCAAGGTGTTCGGCGTCGCGTATTTGGTGCAGGAAGAGCGAGTGAACTGCTCAGCACCATTATATCACGCACCAGGCTCCGATGACTGGGTCACGCGTTGCGCAAGTCAGCGCACCGACTCCCGCGCCGAGCATTGTTTGCGCGCCGCACGTGCGGTTGGAAAAGGAGGAGGGGTGGTCAAGCGATGACTTGGTCAAGAGGAATGAAAGCCCTTACTTCGAAACTGGCGTCGGTTGGTGCATCCCGACTGCCTGACTGGGGTCCTAAGGACGATGAACACGTTTGGTTGGGCACACTTGTTGATATAGCAAAGAGCCAGCCCAAATGGCGCTGGTGTTGTGAGTTTCTTTGTCCATCCCCTCCTCTATAGATTCCACTTCCAATTACGATCACATACGAATTGCATAATACAATAGTTAACATTCTAGTACTTGCTTTTTGAATACTTCGCAGCGTAAATTTCCCGGATCTTTTGTACTACGGCACATTGGATGAGGTGTGCTTCCCACCCTCAGTTAATGTGTATTCATGAGGATGATATTCCAATAAGCCAATTGTGAAATATCGACGCGAACGGAACGAAATGCAATGCGACGGTAATCGCAGTTCCTATTAAAACTGCGTCTCGTAGTATTAACATAACACCACCTTAATGTATTAGAATGCACAAAACGGGGAGGAAGTTGCTGCCTTAGTGTTATCACAGATGTAGTCGAAACGACCCGGGAGACCGATTTTAGTGAATATTGAATGAGAATTTCTAAACCGTTAAAATGTGCTAAGGACTGGTCACACATTAGCGGAAGTTAACATCACCATAACAAGGTTGCCATGTCCTAAAGTCTCGGAATGTTCAGGACTAAGCAGTGGTACGAGGCGTTACTCAGTGTTGACCAATGAGGGAGAATAGAACAGAGAGTAAACGAGGGAGAGGGACAGAGGAGAATCATGGTTAAAGATTTCTGGCAAACAGGACAAGAAGCCGAAACTAATAAAGGAAGTGAAAGAGAGAACGAGATTTGATGTTTAGCGTTTTATAAAAAGTGTCTGATAAATGCAGTAAAATATAAACATACTGAGTGATGCTGCATAGCTACACACGGTGGTGGAGCCGAGCGTGTCAGATGAACAACAGACACTTATGAGTCATGACCGGCGCAAGTAATTCCCAGAAAAGAGCACCAGAGATAAGAACCAAATGGTATCTGAATGAAGCAGAAATAATTTGGCGGAGGTATGCACAAAGGGTTGAGGGAAAGTGTGCTGCAGCATGAGAGGACAGTACCATTGGGGTGACTCGTCCCTGGGAGCGGGGAAAAGGAGGCTACGGATGATCAGTGAGTGTGAGAATTTGGACGGGAACACACTGCGCAATATGGCAGCACAGAACTGACGGAAGCGACACAATATGAAAACAATCTATGGTGAAATGGGGAAGGGAGATGATAAAACAGAAGTGAATTCAACACTGTTCATTCAGAGATCAAAACACAATCGAAAGGGGAGATATGTACACAGAGAAAAGCCGCAGTAAAATGTGAACAATGACACTTTGGACAGTGAAAGATAAAAACAAAGGAAGTGGCGAGACTATCGGGAGTGACGCGATTTCAGCAATTGTTAGGGAAACCGAAAATTCGGCAATAAACGATGTGGCTGCAGACGGTCGAACGGAGCTGCTTGAGAGGACTGTGTGATGAAGGGCAAACGCCGCTGTCCCTGTGCAGTGTGCTGATCTAGTGACACGTGCTGACTCACAGGTTCGCGAGGTGTCTGCAGAAGCCCCGAATTCCCAGAGGCTGTGTGAAGGGGAGCAAGTCCAGGGTAAATACTTGTACCGCTCATCCCTTCGGTGGACGCAAGCATCGGAGGCGATGTAATATTAGCAGAAAAGTATTGCTGCATTGCAGCGGCCATCGAATGGGAATGTGTCAAGTTAACTGCATGTTGAGCGGGGAAGAAAGAGGTCTGCGGTGCATGCTGCCCAGCAAGTTGTGCAAAATAATCCTGCATCACAGATGCCGGAGTTTGTGAAGGCGGACCGCCGAAACGAGCGCTCTGGTTGGCAGTGGAAGATGGTGGTCCTGTCGGAGAATGATGATGAGCAGAAAGATGAGGGGACGCGAGCTTATTGGAGTTTGTGGGTGCTTCTGGGTCGTGTGACTGTTTCATGTGATGTGGTGCACCGGAGGAACCCAATTGATGCTTGTTAAAACTGAGATAAGCCGCTGCCGCCGCGGATTGTCGGGCAACCTCTTGAGCTGCTCGCATATATTGCTCCTGCTGCTGCTGTTGTTGACTGTCAGCTAAACGGTAAAACTGACCTTCAGTGCCGCTCGATTCGTACTGAGGCACTTGTGGAAAACCGGTACCTTGTTTGTGAACTGCAGCCTCAGGCGAACAGGAAGAGGATTCGAAGCTAGACATAGGCATCTTCTGGTTATAAGAAGTCGAAGAGGTAGATTGTTGAGCGGTCGTTCGAACGATGGATTGATCTGGACGCGATGAAGCGCACGTGCATCCAAGCAGCGAAGATTGACCGCAGTTGGAACACGACCATGGGGGCACTGGCGGCTGGGAGAGTCGGCGCTGAGCCAGGTGAGTGTCATATAAGTGCTGTTGCTGTTGTTCAAAGGAAAATGTATCAGGACGAGGTGGGTTGTTGGTCTTGGTTGGGGAAGTGGGAGGGAGCGAATGATGTGGCAAACCAAACCGATCTGGTGGGGAAGTGTGACTGGGAGTTAAAGAAGCGGATGAACGCAGGTTAGATTCGCCGATATGGTTGAAATCAGAGTAGAGCTGTGTACAGCCGGGGTGCTGTTGGGGTTCGGACGCAGATCGCAGAATTGAAGGAGAAGGTGTAGGAAATGATTCATTAGTTATTGTATTGGATACAGTCGAACGATTGGTAGCATTTGACCACTGGGGATGTGGAAGCCCAAGAGGCTGCCCTTCCATTTGAGCAACGGTTTTTTTGGCTGACGAACCTTCATACAGAACGCTGTGAGAACAATTGCTGCTCGGCGAAGTCGTTGCGCAACCCGCAGTCGATGACAATTCGTTGGGAAACGGACTAGGGTCGTTGACAGAAGCACCGGAACTGGGCGGTGTGGCAACAAGGGCACCACCGGCTTTATACTGTGCATCAGCGTTGGAAGTACAAACAGCCGGTGTGGGTTCAACAGTATTCGAAGCACACGATGGAGGTGCATGTGAGGACTCGCTATTGGTGGCCGCCGAGCTGGCACTACTCGTGCTTGTCTTCACAACGAACAAATCGCCAGTGCGAACAATACGCAGATATTTGCCTTTGGGAGTTTGTATGACTTCAAGCACTTCCCCCTTGGGAATAAGCCGCTGAGTTGTTTTATTTTCCGTTGTGGATGGAAAGTGGAGATCTGGAGACACAGGGAGAAGAGAGAAAGGCAAATGGAAAAACGTAAAAAAATCACTGAAGAGTGAAAAGGCAACTGTAGCACATACTCATTAAATGGGTAAGATAAGTTAACCGAACAGATGACACTGCAAAAATAACGTTTCTGTAATTAGTGAAGCTATATTTTAAAACGACTAACGGCTGAGATAACCGGAGATAATGCTATAGATATTAACATGAACACAAACCTAAGTGGGAAGAGCTAAGAAAGTGCGCTTAAATCTCACTGATGTGCCGTCATCACGTCGACGTGACTAAATAAATAAATGCACTGGAAAGAGGAATGGACACAAAAAGGAACCTCGGGCATGGTCAAATTAATTGTCATCAGCAATGGGGAGCCGTCATAAGACGACAAAGCAGCAGCCTTCACAAAACCCACGCCAACAACCATCAATACGTACGGAAGGGTGAATGAAGAAGTTAGACGGTTCTGCAACGGAGCAGCCATAAACGGCAGGAAGGATGCAACTTCAAACAACTCACTCGCAGCAATGTACAAAATGGGGATAGCGTACTATGACTGACTGCAGCCGTCTGCGAACACAAACTGTTACACAAATGAGCACAGCATCAAGTGCACAATAAGGCGATTAAAATAAGAGAAAACTCTGGTTTTGCTATGCGACAAGCAATCTCAATTGAGACCGCAGTAATGCTCTAGTGATCGATAGATGAAAACCTTCGGCCAAATCAAGACGAAACCGATTGTGGAAGGCACGGGAGCAACACCGAAAGATTCGAGAAATGGAAAATGGCTCCATACTTTAAACAATAACACCAGAATAAAGCGGGCTAAATACAAACGGAGGAACGTCAGTCTGACGAATCAAGGGAATCGTACCGGCGGTAGCCACGACACGCGTCACCTTGCAGTCAGGGTTCCGACTTGATGCGTCTAAAAAGAGAAAAGTGGACATAGTGAGGCATAAAATGAGATACTGTGTGTAAATAAACGACGGCATGGAAACAATGGGAGCAAATAGATAGGGGACGAATGGCACAACGAACGATGTCCTATGATCTAAAAGCGTCAGCAGTAAGGAAGTGAGCTTTTTTACTGTCACAGTAACAACGATTGACGTTGGTTGAAAATAACGGACCTGCTCAGTAGAGCCGACTGCGTGACATGAAAGCCCGATGACCAAAGTACGACAATATGGTGTGAGATGTAATTTTTCCATACGCTATAAGAAATGCGTACAGAAGTCGGAAAGTGCGGACCAAGCTCAAATCAAAAAGGTTGTAGAAACAAGACAAAAAAGTTGCACTAAACTAGGAAAGGATATTGATAATTTAAGTGGACACCGGGTGATGAAAAAATAGAATCATCTGGAGAACCGTAAATGTTCCGATTTGAAGTGAGACATGGCCAACGTGAAGTAGTATCTCGAATTTGCTACACCTCATATAACAATGTCACAAAGAACATGTTTCCCGGAAACAATTATTGCCACAAGTCAGGACAGAGCGAACATCTGAACCAGCAATATTCATGCTCACTTGATTTTTGTGAACGAGTGAACAAGTTACCGCTAGAGCAAGAGAGAACATTCGGGAGATTTTCCCTACATGAATCAATATTTCATTTTTACATATCACTTGTTCGACCCACGCTGGAATATTGTTTATTGGTGTATAGCAGCTCAACAAAGCGCGACCGCATTGCATTGCAACAAGTATATAGAGCGTTCACAAAGCGACTCCTAGGTGCTTGTTCAAAGCTGGCATATTGTAAACGATGTGATAGGCTCAAGCATGATCCGCTCTGGCTGCGGCGCATGAAGCATAACCTAGTTATATTCTTTAACACCTTGTATGACATTGATGCAATCAGCCGCCTACAACACACAACATACACAGAACTCAGTGGAAGAATACAGGGAAAACAGGTCAGCGAACTTGTTCCTTAACAGGTACGTCAGAGTCTGGAACAAACTACCACCCGGAAAACGTGCTTGCATTTTTGAGCACGAATTTCGCAAAAGCAGCAACAATTTATTGCCGGCACAGAACGTGATGCAGCTGTTTGAATGTGTTATAACAACAAGCCAATCGTACTAGCAGGGTCCAGGTTTCATATGACCCAGTACATGTATCACCATCATACTCCCAAATGTAGTTTAGCTGTCTTAAATGTGAGAGAACGGTAAAACGTTAGCCATCATTTCAATTCAGTCAACGATTTATTATATTTCTGCTGTCCTTCCGAACGTTATTATCTGATCTATTCAATTTTCCTGATCCAACTGTGGCCAACGCTCTGTAAAAGTACAAACTTACCCGATCATGCTGATACGGGTGTGTCTCGCATCATCGAGACCATTAAAAATGCGTTTCGACGGAAGAACTACGGGTAATTGAAAGAAACACATAAAGTCTGTGGGTTTCATCTAAATTAATATAATACACTCTCCGCAGTCTGTAAAAAGACAGCATCCACAGGGACAAATTCAAATTTGACATAACCTACAAATTGGCATCGTAGTCCCTAAAGAGTTGGTGATGCCGTCGAGCCAAGAAAAGCGAACAGTGTAATTGATGTTTGTTTAGGCAAGATTGAAGTATCGCGGCGCGGAGACGTACGCACTCAGCTTAAGTCCGTTTCTACTATGAATCAGAGGAGAAAAGCACACCAACTAATACTTTTGATTCTGCATTATAAATTTGCTTCGCAGTAACTGTGACCGTATGTAAGGTGGCCCCATGTTATTTCCAAACAGATTACGCTGTTGTGACCGATGAAACGTCGCCTCACTCTGATATGTATGAACTAGTTCCCCATCATACGAGTAACTGATGAAAACTCCTAGGGAAAAGCATCGGTAAATTTGGAATCAAAGGAGGCGCGAAGTGCGCAAGATACGTCAGGGGAATCGGACTCGTGTAGTCACAGATACATCAGGACGATGATGTCATGTGGTATCCAGGAGATATAGCGTAGACTGAGGAAAGACGGAGCAAATATTGCCTGTCGATCGATCGAGCGTAATACGCAAATGAAAAACGACATGCTTTGATGGAAACAGACGGCTGTTGTTGTCTAACCGGAACATACTTTGCAAACGATTGGAAACTGAAGTAGACAGAGCTCGAGTGAGGAAATTCGGTGGTTAAATGGTACACTTTAGTGCAACAATAGGAGTGTTTCTACTTGAACGTTCTAATGCCCAGCCAACTGTCATCAGTTGCAAGGTAACTGACAACCATCTTTCTGGTTAACCTGAAGCGAGAATAGTGGAAAGGACGGGAAACAGAAAAAAAGATGAGCAGTAACGACAAGATTTTGTGACCGCATATCGTCCGATTGCGTGTCTCGGAAGGTTTGATCAAAGATATGCTTCGGACTTTGACTCGATAGAATGCTTTATGTAGTAGACATTAAAAATTGTGGTGCAGATGGTTTGTGAAAGGGGACAAGCATGCTTCAACTGATATATTATGGACACCTTGAGGGATCGACGCATTAACATAGTTTTACCGGGTTAAACGCGGAAGTGAGTCATGTAAATGAACGCTGTGGAATTTATTTGGTACACTGAGCAGATTAGAAACAACATATTGTAGGTAGGATATGGAATACAGAGTAAACGAAGTCGAAATATTGATTTTTGTTGGCCTCGGTTGACTTTGAAGTCAGCATCTGCCAATACGATTACTGGGACCGTCAGCGAAGTGGAGGGTGTGGCTCTCTCCCACCTGTGCACTCCACGACCGACGGTTTCGTCTTGGTTTAGACTCATCAGGTAGAGATAGCCGAGCTGGGAGTGGAATTTGGCGCATAGTGTTTGGCAGCTATCGCCAAAATCACTAGGCCATTGAGCTCTGCGAACAGCGCTTGACACAGTGGTGACGGTCCCAGTGACCGTATTGGCAGAGGCTGACTTCAAAGTCAACGGAAGCCACGACTGAGTGTCACAATCCAAGAAACATGGCGGGTGCTCAAAAACCCGAAAAGCAACTTCCAATCGTCGAGTCAAGCACTGCTCGCGGAGCTCAATGGCTTAGTGATCATGGTGATAGCCGCCAAGCCCTATGTGCCGAGTTCCACTCCTAGCTCGGCTATCTCTATCTGATGAGCTACACCAAGACGAAACCGTCGATCGTGGAGTGCAGTAATGGGAGAGAGCCACACCGAAATCGAAATGTTGATGCAAACGGTAAGCTCGTCGACCGGTGGCCGAGTGGTCTGCACACCTGGCTTGCAATCATAAGGTCACCCGTTCGAATCCGCGTAGGGGCAAGCCTCTTCGCGGTATACTCAGCCCACGCGCGACTGGTGGTGGTCGCGCAGTGGCGAAGTGCCATTACAGCGCACAGCTGACGATTTTTTGGGCGGTGGGCTCATTCGAAAATCAAATATGCCATCACATACAGTTGTAGGCACTTCATACATCTAGTTAGAAGCATGTCTCTAACGAAGAAGATGGAAACGAGGGGCTATGCGGTAAACTGTGAGAAGCTGTCTTCAGCTGTGCTCCGTCAAGTCGCAGAAAAGTTTCAGGAAACAAAATCACTGGTCCGTAACAGTAAAGTATGCGTAGACTGGGTAGCCGGGCATCCACTAAACAAAACGGAACTAAGGGGCGGATGACCTGCAGAATAGGACCCATTAGGAGTTGTGAAGCAAAACAGCAAAACAGCTAAAGTGTCACTGCAACCATCAGTAATCGCATGAAAAACAGAAAGTAATAAAAGCAAAAAAATGAGATTAAAAAGCCAGACAATAAGGTGGGCAATGCAGTCAGAATAAACGAGAAGTAAAAAAATAGCCCTAGAAAGACGTACCGTAGATGCCACGTCTGCGCAGGGAGTCCGTTTCCACGTTGGCTTCACGCTGGACTTGCCGCATCGCATCCAAAGCGGCCATTCCACTGGTGTAAGTTGGGCGGTAAGAAAGTCCTCGGGATAAAAAGTGTGGCAATCGGTCGAAGAAACTGTGAAGGCAATATGAAAGAACAACGAATAAGACTAAGATAATGACAGCAGATGACTCAACTACATCTTATGCTGATCGCGATGCAAACGCCGCTTTGCAGGTGAACCATCGAGTGAGCGATAGATTGGTTTACCGGCATCATGGTTACACACAAATGGTTATTAACGAGGGATCCTAGGAATCTGTGGAGCTGAGGGCATCGCAGTTGCCGCGGAAGCTAGATCATCGTGGTGACTTTTGCGGAAGCAGAAAAAAGGGAGTACCCAAGACGAGCATCACAGAAGAAAAGTTGTGAAAACTTCCGGGACCTTATTTGCCCTGTGTAGTAGATCAAACCGGTTGGCTACAATGATGATCTCTAGGCAGTGGAAAACCATTCTTTCATCAACTTGATAGCACTGTTGTTTATTCTTATGCGAGCCATAGCAATCATACCGTTCTATTGACGTAACGTGTCAGCATGCCAGTACTCTTAACAGATACGAGGTTGTGGGCTAGTAGGTGGTGCTCCATCAGTTTGCTGTACCAATATTCGACAATCCAACAACAGGCAGAGGCAGCACTAACAGCTGGAACCCAATGTAGTACTCAGAGAGTAACGTAACCTGTGTATGGAAATAATGTGAAGATCAGATGCACATGTGCTCGCCGACTTTATCAACTGGAGCAAGGTGAAAGCAATGAAACGGAAATTGGAGGCAACGCGTCGAGGAGAAGCGTCACACGAGTGGGTACTTTATAATACGAATACCATAGATACTCGGAAATGTCCCAGTACGGAATAGCAAGGAGTCCGGTAGAAAATCACCACAGGCAATAGAGACGGAATAAGTTACTCACGGAGACTGATCCACCAAAGCAGGATTGATTCCAGCAGCGATGAGCTGTTGTTGCTGAAGCGCCTGCATCCGTTGAAACTGGAACAAGTGTGCCTGCTGATAGCTCAAACTCAAGCGTTTCTCTTGCTCATAACGCTGTTTTGCCAAACGTTTTTCAACTCGTGTGAGGCGATAATCTTTTCGATCAATCAATAAGGATTCGTGTGTGAATGGTATCTGAACAAGGAAAGGAAGGCTGTCGAAATGAGGACCAATGATCATAGGTTAGACAGCAAAAAGCACAGTCAATGAGCAGACTAACCTTGGTGATCCACGATTTATGCTTCCTCAGCACTGATGCGAGAATCGGATCAGGTTCGATGAGTCCCCTACAAGAATCCAGATCGTTGTCAGTGAGCGTTGGCATGTCTTTGTCTTCGAAAGACATGAGAAGTTCAACTTGAGACCGAGTGAACTGTTGAGTCGGGTTAAGTTCGTCCACAACGCGGTCTGACATGCCTTGCTTGGTAACCTAAAGGCAAGTGGGGATGCGTAGGATGGTTAGCGAAGGAAGATGATCATAAGGTGAAATGTTACCCCCCCCGCCCCCGCGCTAGCTCAAGACAAGATGCGTGACAGCGTCACGTGAAACTCCAGCGCGCGCAAAGTACTAAAGATGCGAAAGGACAGTAACGAAGGCAGGCAATTCAACAGCTATTTTAGGCTGGCAGGCTAAGTGGCTGCCCCAAGAAAAGTATCGTAACAACAGGACCTGCTCAAGGTCCAGTGTTGGTGATCAGGTAGTAATACAAATAGACCCAGCAAAGATAGTGAGAAACATTATCAAAGTGCTGATGCATACCTGGCGATCGTAAATCTTCTTTTCCATGGTGTTATCTGACACAAGTCGATATATGTAACAGGGTTTGCGCTGACCGTAACGGTATACGCGGCATACAGCTTGACAGTCGTGGCAAGGGTTCCAAGAAGCATCGAAAACAACAACGCGGTTGGCCCCAATCAAGTTAACGCCCAAACAACCAGCACTGTCCAGAAAGAACAAGGAAGTGAACAACTTAAAAACAGAAACGTAAGAAGGAATATGGTCAGAAAAAACAATGTACTGGCAATACAGACTTTGGCATTGCATACTGAAAGGCTAACACAAAGATTAGAGCGTACAAGAAAAGAAACGAAGGACAATGGTAAATGTGTGCTACCGCTCTTGGTTTGAGATATGTGAAAATCACACTGTGACATCGATCCACTCACCCGAGAGATGGACAACGACTGACCAACGCAACTTTTCGGCAGTGAGGCCACAGTAAAACTAATAGTAAGTGTTGTAAAGTTGATTACGAATTTGGCCGACGATGACCGCCACTCATGGCTTATACTATTATTCGTTCGTTCTGCTTGGCGTAATAAAAGAGTATCGTCCAGAAAAATCTCAGGTGCGATGGCAGGTGAGGCTGCTAAGCCTAAATACAGGCATACTCCAGTATGATCTGAACTACAGCTAATGATCGCATATCCACATATGAGTAGTGATTTGAATAGTACAACGTTCTAAGATATGAGGATAAACAATCATCCATACTTACGGAGCACGATTCTATGGATTTGTAGGCGTCCAGACTTGACCTATTAATGTTCTAGCAAATTAGATATCTGTCTTTTTCCGAGTCTTATCTGCCTAGTAGTAACCACAAACGTTCGTATATTAGTTATAGACTAGATGCATCTTAGTAACTACGTGCAACCAAACCATAATGTTGGATGGATCCGCATGCTTCGTATGAATCCTGTTGCATGTGATCATATACGCTTGAAGAAGCCCAGCTTTTTAGGCGCGCAACGCTGTAAGTTGTCATCACTGCGACTATGGCGCTGTACAACACTTTTTAGACTTAGACAAGTTAGAATTTATCTTTCGCCATCATTTGCAATTTTATGTTATATTTGCGTCATCCGCTGACCTGACATTCGCCAGAAAATGCATATGTCACTCTCGTCATATCCAGCGCCAGAGAGTGCTACTATTGATTTGTACGTTTTTCACTCCGGATTCCTTTGCATACAAAAAACCATTCAGCATAAGTTCGCATTTTTAGACGTCCCAAATCAACTACTAGCTGAAACTATAAGCGTTCGGCGTCTTAGGTATTCCTAACCAACTGTGTCATCTACCTTTTTGGATTCTCCATTGCTGGGCACTTTCACTTTCCTTTTACTGGCAAACATTTGAAAGCCGTTTCTTGCTCACCTTGACGCCACCGTTATTTTATTTCCTCCCCGAGCTCACCACGAGCTGAAAGTTCGGAACGTGTTGAGATCCACCGATGTAGTCGGATCGAACGTCACCGAAGATCGAAAGACTGACTTAACCAATAGAGTTTCATTTACATTTTCTAGTCAGAGTGCGCAGGCTCACTGCGACGGGACAACAGTTAGCTGAGGCAGGCAATGAAGAATTTTGCGTAAACAATGTGAACCCCACTAAAGGAATCAGGTCTCAGTACATTCATCTGCCCTTATCCCTGAACACAATGGATATGTAAAACTGTAATGGGCATAACAGTACACATATTACCACTCGGTATGTTGTATGAACTCCTCACGGTCAACATTAAGACATTGTTTGTGAAAAATACGGTATATCTATTGATCTATCCCTACGTAGGAAATCTGTCGCACCTTCGAGGAACAAAAGATTTATTCATTCAGTAACCCGCGGTCGAGTTCAAATGATGTGCTAAACAAACTTGTAATAAAACAGCAGACGGCCGTTGAACTGTTCGCAGAGCTTGGCAATTTTGTTGCAAACGTTTCGTCACCAATCGAGGTGACATCATCAGTGCGTAGTTGAGTGGCGTGCAATAGCATAGAGAAGCCTCGGCGAGAGTGCACTCTCACCGAGGCTTCTCTACGCTATTGCACGCCACTCAACTGCGCACTGATGATGTCACCTCGATTGGTGACGAAACGTTTGCAACAAAATTGCCAAGCTCTGCGAACAGTTCAACAGCCATCTGAACAACCTGAGCTACCAGTCTTCAATTCTATAACCAAAAACAGCAGACATTTCATCCTATCATCTGGTCAATCGGGGTATTATGAAATTGTGCAAATACCCATGAATTGTTGTAGAAAGGCATCTAGAGGGTCATTTTAGCATGGTAACTGACGGGGACTCAACAAGCAGTGGTAAACAAAAAGTGCTCAAATAGAAAAAAAACAGGGCAGCACAACATCTGCACGGAATCATACGGCGGTCACAGCACAAGAAACGGTGAATTAGAGCTGACAACACCATCGCCAGCTAAAAACGGTGCCCAGTAGCCAGGTAGATTTGGAGTATTTGTTCCTCACACCTGCTCGCAAAACGCGCGCTTTTCTGTATTCGGTCAGGCGCTTAGCTCTGAAAGCACTCGTCAAATGAACCCAGAATCCGCGAACCAGTAATATCAGTTGAACTGTCGAGCAACATAGAAAAAACGATTAAAGATTGACTTTTCTCCGGAGCAATGAAAGAAGTATTCGAAGTCGCTTGTCCGTAAAGTTTGAGGTGTTTGGTTAGTGGACGTGAGGCTAAAGTATCGATAAGCATGAGGAAAATATGAAAATAGATACCGTCGGCATGCTAGTTCCAAAAGAATTTGTAAGACGGAACGGTGTATGAGAAACGACCGGCAGCTGTGGCAAATGGCGAAGGGCAGCGGATGTGGAGAAAGTCGATAGCGCGGACAACACCAGACTGTTGATCTAACACGTTGTTGTTGCAGGGGACATGAATGTGCAATTAGGTCAGCCAGGTGGCAAGTACTGGATTAACTTCAAACGGACGCAGTTCCTGTTGCAAATGTGCAGGGAGCACCGGCTGTTTCTTAGTAGCACCACTTTCAGACACACTGGGCCATCAGTTACAGGTGGCCTGATTCAATTCTGGGTTATCGCCCGTCCTGGAATACTTGCGTTGACTCAGATTATGCCTTGGTACACTGTCGTTTTTCCATAAACGTTATCGGGAAACATACAAAGCACCCCTATGATTGGCAAATGAAAAGTTATCCCGGCCCTCGGTCAAGCAACCTTATCAAGATGCTTTGTAAAACCGGCTCTAATGACACCGAGGTTCAGCGGCCATGCATGAGGGGGAGCCTCTGAGTATAGCACTACTAGTCGTCACCAGAACAGTCACTGTTTATCCGAGAGCTCGGTGAATCTGGTTGGAATCCAGAAGAAAACTCTCAGACGCACTACAGGGCGAGAACTGAAGCCCAGTCTGCATGCAGACAATGAGGCCTGGTTGATCAGCAGGACAGGAACAGTAAATAAGTATAACACGCTCTGCCAACTGATGCGTAAAATCGGTCCTACGAAACCGAATGTCAGTGACGCAACGGGGAAGAGCACGGGTGTCGTATGGCGAGCCGAGCTTGCAACCATAAGGTCACCGGTTCGAATTCGCGTAGGTGCGAGCGTCCTCGCGATATACTCAGTCCGCGCGCGACTAGTGGTGGTCGCGTGGCAGCGTAGCGACGTTACGGCGTACAGTCAACGATTACTTAGTACCTACGCACTCAGGGAGTGCAGGCTGGCTAATGTTCGGTTAGGTTAGAAGCGCCATCAGAGGATGGGGCCCGACACACGAACGAAACTCACAACCGTTTTCCAACTGCTAGTGGGGACCCCCGCGCAAGCACACTATTTAAGGATGGCAGTGACGTCCTGTGCAAAGCACTGACCTTGTTCGAACGGATTTAGAAAGAAGAGACCACTCCGGATAACTGGAGTGAATCGATTATAGTGGCCATATACAAGAAGAGCAGTCGGACCGACTGTGCTAACCAGAGGTATTAACCCAAAACCAGTGAGGACAAAATTACTGGCCTCGATTCTGGTTTGTCGTCTCACTTCAGGACGGGATTCCCGGATTAGAGAAGATCAAGCAGGTTTTCGTCCAGGACGGGACTGTTAAGACCATGTATTCACTCTGAGGCAAGTGGTAGAGCAGTGCCACACGTACCACAGATCGACAATAGCTGTGTTCCTCGATTACAAGTGTGCTCGACTCAGTCAAACGACCAATTCTGTTCGAAAAAATTCACGCGGAAATGTGTTCTCACGAAATAGGTGAACATATTGCGTGTCCTGTACTTGAAGACTAAAGGTCGCGTCTGGGTCTACCGTGATTTGTTGGGTGCACTTCCGACAACAAGTATCGTCCGTCGGAGTTATCCGATTTCAACATTTTGAATCACATTCATGGTGAGCTGTTACATGGAGTATGCTCTTGGGGAACCTGACGACGTACGCGTTGAATACTGAATACTGAATTATAGAGCAAGTAGAAATGGATTCTGTACAACTCTTTCGAGATATGGCGAAAAACGTTATAAAAGTTGTCAACCTTGAATATCATTGTCGTTCTCATGTAATATTTAAAATATTCGACTTACGATATTTCAGGATTCACAAATGTGATGTCATCGTAAGTGTGCAGTCGTTCTCTGAATCGAATAGAGGCAAAATGCAAATCTAACAACGTTTTGAACTGTTGCACAGATGTTGCCTCAATCACATGTTCTGGCAAACTATTCCAAATGTTTACCACTCTCCGTTCGAAGCACAGTGGGTGGGGAACACGTTTCATATCCGGCACAACAAGTTTGTATCTGTGTCCGCGTGTGCTGCATGGCCCTCGTAAGTGCAGCATTGGCCTTAACATGGGGAACTCACCGAGATGTAGAATTCGGTAGGTCATAATGAGGTCGACTCGCACCCGACGGTAGGACAAGGTGTAGAGTCCTAGTTTCTCGCACCGGTTTTCATACCCAAAGCCACGTAAACTCGAGATGAGCCTGGTAGCAACGTGTTGGACCCGTTCGATCTTTTGTGCCTCGCCTCGGGTAATCGGAAAGTAGGCGGGCGAACCGTACTCTAGCATTGGTCTAATGATAGAAGAGAACAGGCGAGTGGCAACCTCTTCAGACCATGTGCCGAAGCTACGTTTGAGCGCCCAAAGCATGCGCAGTCCGTTCCG